TGATCTTTGCAATCAAAATATTTATTAATAGCTTATAAATGATGGAAAAATAATTTTTATTTGGAATTAGGAAACGAATAAGTTATTCATCGAAGTCAGACTCGTGCATGCTTGATATGATGTGCAAATAGAAATATCAAAAGATCTCCATTATCCTAAATAGGTATTAGCTGTTGGCCCCTTTTATATTAAATCAAAATTATAAAATATTATTATTTTTTCTACATATAAAAAAATAAATTAAGTGATATTTTTATTGATGCGTCTATGTGATATAATAAACAGCCTTCCCAGACATTCATTGTTTCGGTTCGTCTTGTCTCGTTCGCCATCTTTATTTTCTCAAGTCATGGCCATGAATAGGAAGAGAAACCGTCCCGAGGATTGGGAAGATATCAAACCATCCCCGGTTATCCATATTAGAGAGCTGCCTGAGCACACTTTGGAGATCGATCTGCAAAGAGCATTTGAAGTGTACGGTCGTATCCGCGATATAACTATGCTCCCGACTAAATGCCAGGCTCTCCTCGAATTTCACGATATTTCTTCCGCAGAAGCTGTGATTATGAGGTAGGTTCCTCGTTTTCGGTTATTTCATGGTATAAGATCCGCCGAGGAAGTGGTCACCGTGGCTAATCGTCGTGTCAAGGTAAACTTCAGTACCTCAAAGCGTATAATGCAACGCACTTCCGCATCAGCCTCCGATAATAGCGTAGATGGTCCAGTTGCTTCTGCGGAGAACAATATCTTGCTTCTCACTATCTACAATCCTCAGTACCCTATCACTGTTGACGTAATAAACCAGATAACTTCAAGACATGGGCGCGTCTTGCGGATAGTTATATTCAGGAAGAGTGGGGTCCAAGCTATGGTTGAGTTTCAGACGATTGACGAGGCAAAGACTGCCAAACGCCATCTCAATGGCGCTGATATATACTCTGGTTGCTGCACTCTTAAAGTAGAATATGCACGACCATCGCGTCTTTCTGTCTCCAAGAATGATCAGGATACTTGGGACTTCGAGAATCCGATGCCGTCCTCAGGCGCAGGAGGATCGGTTTTAGATGGACGAAACCAAAATAATGCTTCTCTTTTGGGTGGTTATCCTCGCTTTGATTCTGGGCGCAACACGATTGCTAATATTTACGGGATGCCTAGTGGAGCAGTTGGTATTACCGCTGCAGGTACACAGGTGATGAATGCAATGGGTGTTCCTGGTGCTTCTGTTACCGCAGGGGGAATGCCTATTCAGGTGGAACATGCCCCTAATCTCTATCATGGAAGCAATACTTCCGTTTTGATGGTCTATAATCTAGATTTGACTAGGATGAACTGTGACAGACTATTTAATATCCTTTGTCTCTTTGGGAATGTATGGCGTATTAAGTTCTTGAGAACTAAGGAGGGATCCGCCATGGTTCAGATGGGGGATAGTGCGAGTGTCGATCGTGCTATTCCTAGTCTTGCTGGTCTGACTCTGTTTGGAAATCGCTTGCAGGCAAGTCTATCTACGTTTAATCTCTTTAGCTCCGTCCTAGCAGGCAACAAGTGCTGTTAGATGTGCCACAACCTTTTGATCTTCCTGATAGTTCATCATCTTTCAAGGACTACACAGGAAGCAGAGAAAACCGGTACATTAATCCTGAGATGGCTTTAAAGAATCGCATTTATCCTGCGTCACGTACACTACATTTTTGGAATTGTCCTCCTAACTTCTCGGCCACTGACATGCGCCATGTATTTGTTAACAATGGTGCCGTTCCTCCAGAGTAAGTAATTTCTGACTATAGTAAGATGCCTTGTCTATATTGTAACTACTACTTTTTCTTTATAGGCAGTTCTTAGCCTTCTCGAAGGGGGGTGAAAAGTCGTCGTCCGGGCTCGTTGAGTGGAATAATCGTGGCGATGCTCTTGATGGCCTAGTTCTCTGCAACCATACCGTTGTTCCTTATCCTGAAGGTCGCTTTCCATTCATGATGAAACTCTCCTTTTCTGCCTCGTCAATCAGGGAGCGTAATTTAGTGGTGGGCAGTGATCCCATGGCCTTAGGATCTATTAATAATCAACATTTGGCTGCTTCCGCAGTAGTAATGGCCGGTCAGCCTGGGATCGCCAAAGTCTCCGTTAATTAATTTTCTTACTTTGCAGGTTAGTCACATTGCCTATTATTTGCGGTCTTACTAAATAAGCTTGCATGTGCCTGGCTTGTTTGCGCCTTTAACATCTCATGCATAATACATTCACATACAATTTCTCTTACTGTAGGTACTCCAACTCTCTTTTATCTTCTTTGTTCAATAGAGACGAAAATACGCACGTAATGATAACAACCGCCTCACGATTTTGGTCACGCATCGCTCAAACAGAACACGCTGGACATCACGTCAGTTCAATTCATTTCCAGCATCATCATCATCATCAT